AGGGCCTTCACACTGAATTGTACCCCCAGACATTTTACTTTTATTTTGAATGTCTGTCTGCTTGTTTTTGTGGCACCAGAGACTGAACTCAGGACCTTGCACTTGCCAGGCAGGCACAGTACTACTGAGCTACATCCCTGGCCCTTTTATTTTGAGACAAGGTCTCACTAAGTTGCTAAGTTGCAGTCCTGCCTCAGCCTCCCAGAGTGCTGGGCGTGTGCCACCACGCCTGTCTGTTGGGGACCCTTCTTGCCCTCCCCACTCCCACAGAAAGCTTTGGGTCCCTGCGTGACACCCTCAGGCTAGCTCTGCCGTCCTGTGGAGTTGGCTTTGCCACCTGCTGCAGTGAGCGGGGCTCCCCCCGGCCAGCACTGCGGAGTTGAGGGGCGGCCGGGCTTGCCGGGCCCAGGCAGGTGACTACTGTATGCAGGCCCCACAGGACTGTCTGGAGCCTGGGTGGAGGCGCAGATGAAAGGGCAAGATGACACTGTGGCCAAGGGCAACTTCCTGCCTGTCCTGCACCCGGAGAGGCCGGAGAGGCCGCTTTGAAGAGGGGAGGATGCGTTTCTGGCCTCCAGCCCAGCCCCTGGGCGGGAACACCTGATGTGGTCACTTTGTAGTCCTGCGGGGTTGCAGTAGGTGGCAGTGGCCGACGCCTCCGGCAGAAACATGAGAAGCAGCCTTTCCTGGGCACCTGGGGTGGAGGGCGGCTGGCATGTGAGGCCCTTTCTTGCTCTCATGACCTCAGCGATGCCCTCCTTGTGGTCAAACCCAGGCTCTTCACACTGAGATGCATCTCTCTGTCCAACGTGCAAGTGCTCTCCCGCTGCCCCCACCCCTCTCTTTCGTATTTTGAGACAGTCTCACAAGTTGCTAATGAGCCCAAGCTGGGCTGAAGCTTGCAATCCTCCTGCTTCAGCCTCCCCGAGTTCTGGGATTACAGTCTTGCACCACCACACCCTGCTCTCACAACAGGCGTTATCCCTGTGCCAACTCGGTGGCCTGGCAGAATCCAGCCCAGCTTTGCTCTGGCCCTTTCTCCAGCCTGGGCTTTGCCTGCCTGGAGGTGGCTTTCTGCTCCCTGGCAAATATTCTGCAAAGAGTTGGACCAGCATTTCTTGTTTCAGAAGTCAGAACCATTAACCTGTCACTCAGAGCTTGCTGAGGTCTGGTGTGACCTCAGTGTCCTTTTTGTTAGGCCTGGAGAGTGCTTTGGGCTTGAGGGACTAAAAGAAAGATTTTCCAAGGTGGACATGGTGGCACAGGCTTGTAACCTCAGCCCTCTGGGAGGCTGAAGCAGGAGGATTCCAAGTTTGAGCCCATTCTGGGTAACTTAGTGAGGCTCTATCTTAAAATAAAAAGTAAAGTGCTGGAGATGTGGCTCCGAGTCTCTCCGTCTTTCACACATGTGTGCATGTGCACACACACACACACACACACACACACACACACCACGCAGGTTTTCCAGAAGGGAGGAGAGTCAGAGGTGACTTTGTCTGTTCAGGGATCTCTGCTTTGTTGCCGCCTCTGCTGTGGTGGGGGCACCGTCTCGGCCGGGTGAGCTGGGAGGTGGCTCCTTCGTCTGTCCGGTCCGGCTGTGGACGAATCCCTGCCTGTTGCCTGACCTCTGCCCGGCCCTCGGCTGCTCCCTCGTCCTGGCCCCTTCCCTCCCTCTCACCCCGCCTGTGCCCCAACAGTCCCGTCTGCATCGCACTGCCCGCGTGGCTCCTTCTCTGCTGTGCGTGCTGGACAGAGGCAGAAGAGACCACCAAGTCTTGGCAGAGGGGGGCCTGGCTTGTCATTTAACGGCTGCCTTTTTTGTTTTGCCACGGATTGAACCCTGGGCCTTGTGTGTGCTAGCAAGTGCCCTGTCACAGAGCCACACTGCCACCCCTTCTAATGCATGGCTTCTCCCAAGTGTTCCTGCTCCTGTTCCTGAGCCCCTCCCCTTCCCTCTCCCTCTCCTTCTCCCTCTTCCTCTTCCTTTGTTTGTTTTTTCAACGCAGGGTCTTGCTACACAGTTCAGGCCGGCCTTGTACTCACAGTGAGCCCACACTGGCCTTGAACTCCCCTAGATCCTCCTGCCTCAGCTTCCTCCATGCTGGGATGTGTGCCACCGTGCTGGGCCAGAGTGTGCCTTTGGCACACTCGGTTACCAAGCTGCACTTTGTCCAGTTGAAAATCCCAGGTGCGGAGGGCTGTGTGGCCAGGCGAGCCGATGTGACTTCTCATGTGAGCTGGGAATCCTGACCGCCTGGAAGGCTTGGCGAGTTCCGCACCATGGGAGCCTGTGTTCTGTGATTCGGTTGCCCTGTCTCAGAGCCTGTCCATCCCTGCCCGTTGGTCAGCACCAGACTTTCCAGGCCCAGTCTGGTCAGATTTGCTGGAAAGCTCTCTTGTGTAACTCTGATCTGGTGTCTGTCACGTCTGGTGCTGTGTGGAGCACAGCCCAGCGCCACGGAGCAGGAGTGGGGCCCCTTTCGTTTGGAATTGGGGACCCATCCTTGACGCTGTGACAGATTCAGCCACTGCCTGACCCCCTGCCGTGCTTTCGAGCCCCTGCTGGGGAAGTTGCTGAGGGTCTCGGTCTCAGGACCCGGTGTTTGTTGGTTATTGAGGTGGATAGACCTGGGTGGAGGCCGGGCATCATCAGCCTGAACTACACATCCAGACCTCATCAAAAGAGAGAAAAGGGGGTGCTGGGATGACAGGCACGTGCCTCCTTCAGCGCGTGTGCCAGTCTGCACGTACATGTGTTTGAGGGGCTGCTCCCTGTTCTTTGGGGTCAGTAGAAGTGTGTTGCTGCTACCTCTGCTTAGCACCTTGGGCTCTGTTTTGTCCCTGGACATCAGAACCAGCTTGCTGAGACCTTCCTGATTCTGCCCCAGCAGATGTGATCACCTGCACCCCTTCTGGATGCCTCCACAGCCACTGGTCCCCCAGTTCATGCAGGGTCCGCCCTGGACTCCCTGTAGGTCCTCACTTTGGGAAGTCAGTGGGCACAGGGCCCAGCGTGCCCTCCTGCAATGGATCCCCCCAGAGAACTGACACGGTCTCTGCAGAGGGAGCCCACTTGCCTACCACACACTAGGCTATGGGTTCGAGTCCCAGCACCGCCAAAACAAAGCAAAAACTTGTCCACTAAAGTTCAAAGCAGTGCCAGAAGGGTCCCTCACCCCATGAGTGCGTGAGTGCGTCCAGGGGAATAGCATTTTGGCAGCCGCTCAGAGTAAGGTGGATCGATAGGTGCTGCCATCAGCGAGTAAGCCTTGAAGACATTATGTCAGTGGAGTCAGAAAAGGCAAATCCACACAGATGGAAAGGCGGGAGTGGCTGCTAATGGTGTGGCTTTCCTTTTAGAATGACAGTCAGGTAGCCCTGATTATAGGCTTGAGAATGTAGTTAGTAAGAACCACTAAATGGTACGATTTAAAGGCGTGGGTTTTATGCCATGTAGATTATATCTTGACGCTTTTATTTTTATTTATTGGTTGATTTATTTGGAGATTGAGTCCAGGGCCTTTGCACTGAGCTACATCCTCAGGCTTTTTATTGATTTGTTTTTTTTAACTTTGAGACAGGATCTTGCTAAATTACCCAGGCTGGGCTCTATCTTGCCAGCCTCCTGCCTCAGCCTCCCAAAGTGCAGGGATTGCAGGTGTGGGCCGCCCAGACCAGCAAAAGCTTTTACTTTTTTAAAGTAAAAAAATAAGTAAATGAGGTCCATCACTAAGTCATTGTAAGCAAATGGAAATCATTGCCTGCCTTTCTAAGCATTCACGAACCACCCTGTGACGTTCCCGGATCCCCGGCTGGCCCATCCGTGACTTGTCCACTCTGCCCACTTCTGGGTGACCCTGGGCACTTTTCTCATTTCCGGATATGGGATGCCTCTCGCCAGGGTTCCTCAGGGAGACCAGGAACCATGCAAGTTGTCGCCTTGCAGTGTAAACTTCGCAGCCAGGTCCATGCCCAGGGGCTCAGAGAGGCTGAGGAGAGGCGCCCAGCGGATGTGGTGGAGATGCTGGGGCCAGAGAAGGGCAGACAGAGCTGCTGCTGAAGCAGAGAACCAAGTGGGCAGCTCTGGAGAGCAGAAGAGTAGCCCAAGTCTGCTAGGCTACACGGGGATGGCTGGCCCTGGGGGTCTCTACTGATGGGTTTTTGTCGTGGGAGAGGTGGATGGAGAGTGAAGAAAGATCAACTCGTTTAAATTTAAAAATTGTGGCAAGATATGCATTACAAAGCCACGCATGGTGGGTGGCACAAGCCTGTAACCCCAGCATTCGAGGCTGAGGCAGGAGGATCCTTGTGAGTTTGAGGCCAGCCTGGGCTACATAGCAAGACCTTGTCTCATAAAAAGTAATACATAAATAAAGATATGCTTAAAAAACTCAACCACTCCACCCGTTTGAGTGCAGTGCAGCTGCCTGGCACAGCGCTCAGAATTGTGCCAGCACCGTTGCCACCCCCTGTACAGCCTTTCCCTTGTCCCAGCTGAACTCTGCTGTCAGGCAGCGGCTCTGCGCCTCCCGTGCCGCGCTCTGCCCCTGTGAGTGTGACTGCTCCAGGCTGCTCGTGCCCGTGAGCTTTGTGTTCTTGGCACCTGGTTTCCTCCACTTGATGGCGGTGTAATGACCTCCTGTGGTCACCCACGTTGTGTCTCACGTCAGCATTTCCTTCACTTTAACAGAGGGTTACTGTTCCGTCCTGTGGACATGCGCGTGGACCGACCGCGCACTGGAGTCATTCTCACTTTTTTGTTGTTTGCTTGAGACAGGGTCTCCGTTTGTCATTCAGGCCGGCCATGAACTCACTGTGTAGCCAAGGCTGGCCCCAAACTCACAGGGATCCTCCTGCTTCAGCCTCCCAAGTGCTGCAATTGCAAACCTGCACCACCACTGCCACCTTGAGTCATTTTTAATAAATGAGGCCAAAGAACTTGCAGGCTGGGAGACCAGCAGGTGTCTCTCTACCCTGCCCATGCCTTCGTTCCGCTGCAGGTATGATGCTGGCCATGACGGTTTCATTGACCTCATGGAGCTGAAGCTGATGATGGAGAAGCTGGGGGCCCCCCAGACCCACCTGGGCCTGAAGAGCATGATCAAGGAGGTGGACGAGGACTCCGACGGCAAGCTCAGCTTCCGGGAGGTACCATGAGCTGCTGACCCAGGAGAACCTGGGGCCACACGGGGGTTGGATATTCAGCCTCCAGTTCTGCTCCGGAAATGGTCTGAGGCCAGGGCATAGCTCAGTCCCTAGAGCAAGTGCTCAGCATTCCCAGGGCCCTGGTTCAGTCCCAGCAGCTGCCCCTCCCCCTTACAGGGACAGCAAACTGCTGCCCAGAAAGCAGCCTGAAAACCGCATTTGGGGAAAATGGTGAGAAATCCGGAGAGATGCTCACTGGAGGATCCCTAGTGGGTATTTATGGGCACAGTTTCAATGGGTTCACAGAAATTTAAATGCAGTAGAACAGGACAGGCATAGCACTTGTAATCCCAGCACTCAGGAGGCTGAGGCAGGAAGATTGCTGAAAGTTCCAGGCCAGTTTAAGGCCAGCCTGGACTACATAGTGAGAGCTTGTCTCTAAAAAACAAAACAAAACAAAACAAAACAAATAATAAATTAGGTAGGGGTGTTGATCGCTCTCCCTCGGGACTGTTTATGTCTCTTCCTGTGCCATCTCCATGCCAGGAAGAGTCCTTGCCAGAAACCGAATTTGCCAACACCTCCGTTGTGCTGACTCCCAGCCTCAGCAGGGCGGGGACATAATCTCTGTTCTTCAGGACACTGAAGGGGATCGAACTCAGGACCTTGTGTTTGTGAGGCAGGTGTGCTGCCACTGAGCTAAACCCCTGGCTGATCTGTGGGATTTTGTAGCGCAGCCCGAGAGGATGAAAGCTTGGTCCCAGAGGTGGGTGGTAGAAGGAGCTCTGCCACCAGAGGCATGGGATTCTCTTCCTGGGAGTTTGTGCGGGGCAGTATAGGGGGGCGCTTCTGCCACTGCGCTGGACGTGGCAAATGGAGCGGTGCATTGCATCCAGGCCTGAGAGCTTTGCTGCTCTCAGGCCCTTTTTTCTTTTTTTGTAGTACTGGGGATTGAACCAGGGGCTCTGTACTATGGAACATCCCAGCCCTTTAAATTTTGAGTCAGGGTCTCACTATATTTCCTAAACGAGGCTCAAACTTGCTGTCTTCCTGCTTCAGCCTCCCAGAATACTATAACAGGCGTGGGCTCCCAGACCTCTCTTGCACTAGGGATCTTGTGAATCTCTTTTATTTTTGTGGTACCAGGAGTCAAACTCATGACCTTGAGCTTGCCAGGCAGGTGAGGTGCCATTGAGCTAAATCCCTGGCCCGTGAAACCTTTCTTTTATGACAGATATGTTCATTTTGCTTAAGCCACAGGTTGATTTCTGTTGCTTACAGTCTAAGGGCGCTGATGCAGGGCAAGTGCTTGCACCTCCCACCATAGCCTCGAAGTACAGAATCCCCCTCTGCCTATCAGAGGCTGAAGGCGCCCGTGAGCTCTCTTAGGGGTGTTTATTTGTCACCCACCTCTCCCCCGCGCCCACCCCATACAGCCGGGAGGGTTCCGGGTCAGTCCCCAACATGCCAGTGTTGGAGGACTCTGCCCCCGCCCCCACCAGGCAGGCAGGTTGTGGAGAGAGCTCGCCACCCTGGGCACGAGAGACCCGGGTGATGCTTCCAGGGATGTCCGGTGCTTTAGGGCAGGCCGGGTGTTTCCAGATTGAACTGGATTTCCTTTTTCTGAGCCCTGCCAGGGCTGGGAGCAACCACTGTTGGTGGGCTGAGGAGGGGCACAATCCACATCTGCCCCTGGATCTGCCCCAGACCTGAGCCCTCGAATGAAAAGCCCCCCTGGCGGGGGTTGGTACTGGTGATCAAACTCAGGACTTTGTACTTGCAAACAGATGGCAGACACTGAGCCAAGTCCCTGGCCCCTCCTGGGGATTTTTGATGCTTCTGGTTCACACACTTGCTGTGAATTTGAGCAGTGTCACTTGTGCTTTATTATTATTCATGTTCTACTTCAGTGTTTTCTTTTGAGACAGGGTTCTGCTGTGTAGCCCAGGCTGGCCTTGAACTCATGGTGATCCTCCTGCCTCAGCCTCCTGAGTGCTGGGATCATAGGTGTGCGCCACCACACCTGGTTTGAGACTGAATGATTTTGAAATAAAAGAAGTTGGGCCGGGGATTTAGCTCAGTGGTTCCGCTGCCAGCCTTGCAAGCGTAAGGACTGGAGTTTGATCAGGGTGTGTGGTCCCCCAGAACCCTAAGAGCCCAGTGCCAGCATCCGCTTGTCTTCCAGTGAGCTTGTCCCACCCTCGGCAGACCCTGCAGGGTGAGTGATGCTCCCAGGAGGGAGAGAGCTGCAGCCCCTCAGTGGCTGTGTGTTTCAGTGGGGACGGAGCAGCAGGGCTCTGAGAGTGAAGCTCTCTCTGCTCTTGCCCGCGGCTCCACCTCTTCCTGGGTGACCTCGGCCACCTTGGTCCCAGCCTCTGCCCCCTACCCGGGCCTGATGTCCTGCTTTCCAGCCCCCTTTCCTTCCAGCACCTGCTCAGCCCTCGGTTCTGCCGGCCCCTAGCGAGAGAGGCGGAAACTGCAGCTGTCACCTGGGTCGGTCACCTGGCCCCAGAGACGCCACAGGTCCCTGGCAGTCTCACTGCAGCCCTTGATTAGTGTGCACAGAGTCCACGGAGGGCTGAGGGCCTCAGAGCCAGGGACGCAGAGGCTTCTCAGCAAGGCACTTAGGGCTGAAAGACTTGAGGGCATAAGCAACGCGAAGGCTGGAATGGCAAAGCCTGTCCCGGGAGTGGAGCTTACTTCTGGTGATGTCCTTTTCCCTTTGGCAAAGGTGCTCTTTGGGAACAGCGATCGCAAAAAGGCGCCTGGAACCTGGGATTTCCCTGACCAAGCCCATATTTCAGGTCGTCCCTAAAAACCTTGGAGAAAGCTTTGATGATTTGGAATCCATTGGTTTATATTCTTTCCAGATGAAAATCACATAGAAGTTGTTTCACAGGTAAATTCATAAAGAAAAATTTAAAAAAGAAAATAACAAAGCTTAAACTTGCATTGAGAGAGCCCTGTGTGGTGGCACATGCCTGTGATCCCGGCACTTGGGAGGCTGAGGCAGGAGGATTGCCATGAGTTCAAGGCCAGCCTGGACTAGTCAGTTTAAGGCTAACCTGAATTACAAAGTGATATTTTGTCTCAAAAAAACAAAAACAGAAGAAGAAAAAGAAAAGAAAGGACTGGATACTTAGGTTTGACCAATTTATTTAGTTGGGAATTTATTCCATATGGGCATTAGTACTAGTTGTTTCAAAGATTAATTCAGGTCACGTTTGAGTCTGAAGGAAGAGGGTGGATTATTTAATGTGGGGATTACTAAGTAATCATTTGGAAGAAAGTAAGTTTAATGATTACCCCACAGGCTAGATCAGAATGAATTCAGGGATGAAATATTTAGATGTTTGGGGGAAAAACGAAACAAGCCATAAAAGTAGTAAACACATACATAGGTGATTGTTTAGGTAACCTTGGTGGCCAAAAGGTTTTTTTCTAAACAAAACTCTGGGAAGAGAGGAAAAAAGATCTGATAGGGTTCGTGTCAAATACCTAAAGTCAGAAGTTTCTAAAAGCAGAGTTAAATGGCAAGTGACAGAGTGCAGATATTTAAAACATAGCAGGTTGATGAAGACCTCTTTGCAGATGGTAAGAAAAGTGAGCAGCCTGATGTGGATGTGGGACACACAGGAAGGAGAAGTAGGTAAGAGCTGGGCATGGTGGGCACACCTGTAATCCCAGCACTAGGGAGGCTGAGGCAGGAGGATCGCTGTGAGTTCGAGGCCAGCCTGGGCTACATATTGAGATGCTGTCTCAGAAAAAAAAAAAAAAAAAAAAAGGTAGTGGGTAAAAACCATCCAAAGTAATAAGTTATTTCATATAAAAATATGTATAGGTCTATTTGGTTTCTCTTTCATGGCAACAAATTAGGATGTTGCCAACTTTTTTTTTAAACTTTCATTAGATAAAGCTTAAAGTGTTGTGCGAATTTTTCAGGATGGATTCCCAGCACTGGGGTGAATGGCTGAACCGGCAGACTCCTCTTTACTTCTGTCCGTCTTTCTGGTGCTGGGGATGGAACCGGGGCCTCATTACCACCGAACCCTGCTCCAGTCCCTAGCATTTTGTTCTTGCTAAATATTTCTGAAGTGCCACCCAAAAGTCTGGACCAGTTGTCCGCCCCTAGCAGCCACACGTGGAAGCTTTTCTCTCCCTTCTGCCTTCTCTCCGCTCCCACCCTATTCTTCCTTCCCTCCCTTTTCCGCCCTGGCTGCTGAGGCGGAGCCCCGGCCTCAGCCCTGAGCCCCCCAGCGCTCCTCTGGTCGGCCCGCGGAGAGCCCGCTCCCTCTGCCCGCAGTTCCTGCTCATCTTCCACAAGGCGGCCGCCGGACAGCTGCGGGACGACAGTGGGCTGACGGCGCTGGCGCAGCTCCCCGAGATCAGCGTGGCCCTGGAGGGCGTGAGAGGTGCCAAGAACTTCTTCGAAGCCAAGGTAGGTGCCTCTGCCTCCCCGCGGGACCGCCGCTCCACACCCTGGCTTCTGGCTCAGGCAGGCTTGCTGGACAGGATCTCCTTCTAACCCAGGCAGGGTGGCACAGGAGGCTGAGGCAGGAGGACCATAAGTTTGAGCCCGGCGTGGGCAATTTAGCAACTTAATGAGAACCTGTCTCAAAATAAAAAATATAAAAAGGGCTGGGAATGTAGCTCAATTCGAAAGCCCTGGATTTCATCCTCGGTATGCCACCCCCCTGCATTTTTTACCCTCCATCTCATTGAGTTACTTCAATAGCTACCCCTTGTCTTTTCTTTTTCATTTTTTTACTTTTTTTTTTCTTTCTTTCTTTTTTTTTTTTTTTTTTGATAGAGTCTCACTGTGTAGCCCAGGGTGGCCTCGACTAATGGAGATCCTCCTGCCTCAGCCTCAGAGTGCTGGGATTATAGATGTGCATCACTGCACCTGGATGTCTTTGCATTATAAACCCCTGTGTTGTAAGCACGAGGATCTTGGGACCCTGGGAGAGGACAGGATGGCTGGCCCAGAGTGGGTACTGTGGACGGTGGCTGGAACTGGGAAGGGATCTGCGGAACGTGGCCACATAGCCCTTCTGGGGGCTTCCATTCATCCACAGGTTTACAAAGTCCTTAAGCCAGGTGTGGTGGTGCACGCCTATAACCCAGCATCAGGAAGCTGAGGCAGGTGGATCTCCACGAGTTCGAGGCCATCCTGAGCTTTATAGTGAAACACTGTCCCCCAAAACAACAAAATACAGTTGTAGTGCCTCAGGCATTAAGTGAGCATGTGTGTGTAGGACTGAGCAACTGTGTCCCTGAGCTGATGTGACTCCCTGCCAACCCGAGCCAGGAGCAGCCCGGGCAGTAACAGCTGCTTCCAGCGCTGCCCAGAGACGGTGTCCTCAGTGACACGTCTGGTCTCTCAGGCCTCTGGACTCTGCTGTGCTGCTGGAGACAGATCGCTGCTCTCTGTGCTGCTCTGGAGGCCCACATTCCGAACCCTCTGTCCCCCTTAGTGTTGGTGTGGGCCGGCCATTCTGCACCTGAGCACTCATGGCGGTCCAGCCCTGCCCGCACCAACCCCTCGACACCTCAGCAGCAGAGGCAGGCGCTGTCCCCAGGGCACACAGAGTGAGATGAGACTCCGCAGGGCTGCAGGGCTGGGTCCTCGCCCCCATCCCTGGAGCCACTTTTGTAGCCCCTGAGGGCTGCCCCTGCCCCAGGGAAAGTCCTGGGGATGAGGGACACTGCGGACCGAGCTGCAGCTGGGGATGTGACAGGTGCGAGTCCCCAGATGTCTTGTCTGGGCACTGAGGACCCCCTACCTCTTGGACTGGTTGCCTGCTCCAGTCCCATCGGCCCCTGCGAATGCCCCTGGGCCTTTGCACAGCAGGGCTCCGCATCTGCTGTCCCCTGGGCCTGGAGCCTCAGGGAGGGCCTCTGCCCAGGAGACTGCTTCTTTCTTTCTTTTTTTTTGGTACCAGGAATCAAACTGGGATCCATGCACTTGAGAGCTAGGTGGCGGAACCACTGAGTCCCTTGAGTCCCTTGACTGCTCCTTTCAACCCAGCTCCGGGGCGGCTCTTCCTGAGCATGGGCGGGGGCACAGGCTGCCTCCGCCCAGGCCTCTGACCTTGTGCCTCTGACCTTGTGCGGGAGCGCTTGGCTCGGCTGTTCTGGGCGCCCTTGTACACTTCGGTGGGAGCGGAAGTGACTTTCTATAGAGCAGCTTGGGTTTCACCCTCCGGAGGTGCTCAGGCAAATGCGCAAGGATCCCGGCCGGGGTTTTCTACTATGTCTTTGGTCAGAGGGGAAAATCAAACATCCGAGGCGTCCATGGTCAGAGAATCAAGCACATGATGGTTCCTCCGCACGTTTGTACATTCTATAGCCATCAAAGAAAGAGATGTCCCTCTGGAAGGCTGAGGCAGGAGGGCCACACACGTTCAAGCACAGCTTGGGCACCTTAGTGAGTTAGCGAGTCCCTATCTCAAAACAAAAAATAAAAAGGATCAGGGATAGAGCTTAGTGTGAGGCTCTTGGTTCAGTCCTTACTACAAAAAAGCAAGAACCAAGGAGTGGCTGTGTGTGTGTGGACAGATGTCCAAAATAAATTAAACAAAAATAGCAACAACAAATCAACAAAAAGCCAAGCCTGGTGGTGCACACCTATAATCCTAGCACTCAGGAAGCTGAGGCAGGAGGATCACAAAGTTAAAGCCAGAGGTTGAGGATGTAGTTCAGCAGCACCATGCCTGCCTGGCAAGTGCAAGGTTCTGAATTCCATCCCCTGTACCAGGACAAAAAACAAAACTCAACCACAAGAAAACAAATGCAAGGCCAGCCTGAACTAGAGAGCGAGGCCCTATCTTACAAAAAAAGCAAAACCAAACCAAAATTACACTAAACAATATATGGGACATCCAACTTTGTTAAGCATTAAATACAACCTAGGTAATCATATGAAAAAGTATTAGTAATAGCGACATGAGGGGACTAATTTTACATCTCTGTACTGTGTGATGAGTGTGCATTATTTTTACAAGCAGAGGAAAAGATGAAAGTCGTGACAATACATTTCCCCGACCTGCTCACCCAGACTTGAAGGCCAGGCAGGAGCACTCTGTAATTACTGTCTCCTCGTGGCTAATGGCCCTCCCAGACGTCCACACAGATGACGAACCAGGGCCTCGGGCGGTGAGTCTGGGAGAGGCTGCCAAGAAGCCCAGTGACAGCTGTTCCCGGAGGGATGGGCCTCAGCTTGTGATCATGCAGGGGAAGGCATTCAGGAGGTGGGAACCCAGGCTCGGGCCCTGAGGCGGGCGGTGCCTCCCAGCAGAGAGCCTCTGCGAGCAGAAGCCCAGGTGAAAGACGAAAGCAGGAGTGCGGGACCAGCACCCTCTCCTTGGCACGCAGCAGGTGGCTATGATGTCACATGGGCCCTGGGCGTGCTGGACACACACTGCCCTGATTTCCCTCCTTGCTGAGGGACGCTCCCAGGACAGCCTGTTTGAGCCATTTGTTCCCCAGGATGCCACAGGATGTGCAGCTGGGCGGTGGGCACCAGGGCCCGGACGTGGGCACCAGTGGCACTGCCAGGGCAAAACTGGTCCTTGAGAGGCTTCCGCGCCGCCCACCCCCAGAGGAGTGGAGGTCCCACCAGGCTGGGGACTGTGTGGACAGGATGAGGTGAGGAGGGAGCAGCGCTGGGGACAGAGGGCCAGGAGGCTGGCAAAGCCTCAAGAGAGGAGCTGAGATCGAAACAGGAGCCCTGAGAGAAGTGGGAAACTGGTTCTGGTGCCGTCAGAGGTGACTTCAGGCGTGGCAAAGGGGTGACTCACCTTGATGAGCACTTCACTGCTTGCAAATTGCTTCTGATCGCGTCCTGGTGGATAGAACTCAGCCACACCTGGCGTCGAGGGAGGCTGCGGGACTATCCTTTTCCTGGGAGTCCCTGGGCCACGCTGTAATGATGCTACCTGGGGAGGGTGTAGAAGTCAAGGGGCGTGGAATACCCTTCCACACAGGCCTGTTCCTGACCGAGCCGTGGGAAGGGCCTGGGATAGTAATCAGAGGTCCAAAGAAATCCTGGAGAAAATGCTGGGGTTTTTGTTTTTTTTGTTTTGGGGGTTTTTGGTAGTTTTTTGGGGGGAGGGGGTACCAGGAATTACACTCGGGACCTTGCGTTTGCAAGGCAGAACCACTAAGCTAAATTCCCAGCCTGAGAAAATGCTGTTTTGAAGGACAAGAACAAAAACAACAAAAAAAGTTTTTTGAGACAGGATCTTGCTATGTAGTTCCTGCTGGACCTGAACTCACTAGGTAGCACAGGCTGGCTTTGAACTCATGATGATCCTCCTGCCTCAGCCTCCCAAGTGCTGGGATGACAGGCATGTACTATTATGTCTGGCCAAACACAGGAACAATTTGTTTGGTTTTATTTTTTTGTTTTGATGCTGGGGATCAAATCCAGGGTCTTTGCACTGAGCTATATCTCCAATGCCACCTTTTATCTTATTTTTATTTTTTATTTTGAGATAGGGTCTTACTAAATTACCCAAGTTGGCTTGAACTTGCAGTCCTCCTCCTCCAACCTCTTAGAGCAAAAAGACTAAGCCAAATGTGGTGGCACATGCCTGCAATTCCATTACTCAGGAGGCTGAGGCAGGAGGATCACCTTGAGTTCAAAGTTTGCCTGAGCTACATAGTGAGTTCAAGGGCAGCCTGATTACATAGTGTGATCCTGTAAGCACAGTCCTATGATTATAGGTGTGTGCCACTGTGCCTGTCAAGAACAATTTTTTTTTCCTTTTGTTTTTGGTGGTGGTACTGGGGATTGAACCTATGGCTACATCCCCAGCGTTTTTTTTTTTTTTTTTTTTTTTTTTTTTTTTTT